CTGGGGATTTAGCTCAGCGGCAAAAGCTCCTGCCTGGCAAGTGCAAGGTCGTGAGTTCGGTTCCCGGTACCGGAGAAAAACCAAAAAAAAAAAATTTGTGAACTCTATTTTGTGTGCAAGTGTGAATATGTGGCTGGCACTGGAGACTGAACTCAGGGTCTGAGCTACATTCTCAGACCTTTCTATTTATTTTGAGACAAGGCCTCACTAAGTTGTATATGCTGGGCCACAACCTGCCTCGGGCTCCCAGAGTGCTGAGATTACACGCCTGCACTGCCATGCTAAGCTGTGAAAGCTGCATTTTTACAAGCTTTATGTAAAATAATTTAATAATTAAAATAATAACAGGCCAGGTGTGGTGGCGCATGCCTGCAACCCCAGCACTCGGGAGGCGGAGCCAGGAGGATCATTGCGAGTTCGAGGCCAGCCTGGGCTACAAAGAGAGCTCAAGGCCAGCCTGAACTGCATGGGGAGACCCTGTCTCAAAAAGACAAAGAAAAAATGATAATAATAATAATAATAGTTCAATAATGAATCACTATAAAAAATTTCAATATAAAAACACTCTAATTCAGCAAGTTGACCTCTGAGAATCAGTACCCTAAGGACAAAGGTATATAAAGTGAACTGCACAGCAGCACTATTTAAAATAAAGAAGAACTGCATACAATTTAAATGTTCTTCAATGCTGTTCATGCCTTACTTCATACATGTTAAAAATCGATGAAGCTATTTTCATTGAAGCGGTCAAATAAAAGCAGTAATTGCTTTTACCAGCCCCAACCCTAAATCCTATCTAATGCTAAACACTAACCCTAACCCTAACCCCTAACTCTAACCTTACCCTAACCCTAACCCTAATCCTAACCTTAACTCCAATCCTATTCTTTCTGCTCTTCAAAACTTTCTGATTCAAGTTGCTGCCAGGAACAAAAATGCTGCAAGGCAGTAAAAAAATTAATTTGTCTAAAGCCTGGATATTTCAACCAAGAGACCATTAAAATGATAAACAAGTTCAGTACAGTGGTACACTCTTGTAATCTCAGCACTCAGGAGGCTGAGGCAGGAGGATTGTTGCAAGTTCGAGGCCAGCCTGGGCTACAAAGTGAGCTCAAGGCCAGTCTGAACTGCATAGTAAGACCCTGTCTCAAAAAAACAAAACAAAACAAAACAAAAAAAAACCTCAAAAGAATAAAACAGGCAGCAAAAATAGTAATGAATGCTTATTGTTAAACTCAAGCAGAAGAGTACAATGAGCCTCCTTCCACATTAGTACTTACAAATGTTCTTATCATCTCAGTCTTTCGTACAGCTGTGCAGTTTCCTGAACGTGGGTAGTACTGTTTCTTGAAACTGTTACCCTCACTGAAGACAATATTTAATTTCTGGCTGTACAATTCTACTTAGGTTATTAGGGTTTTTTTTAATGTCATATTTGGAAATATTTCACATTTCTTCCAGATAAACGAAAAATGGAAATTTGCCACTTTAAAGTTTGGATAAGAAAGATTTCTGCCAGGTATGGTGGCACATGCCTGTGATCCCAGCACTCAAGAGGCTGAATCAGGAAGATAGCCTCAAGTTTAAAGCCAACTTGGGCCGGGCGTGGTGGCACATGCCTGTAATCCCAGCACTCAGGAGGCTGAGGCAGGAAGATCGTTGTGAGTTGGAGACCAGCCTGGGCTACAAAGTGAGCTCAAGGTCAGCCTGAACTGCATAGCGAGACCCTGTCTCAAAAAGACAAAAAAAAAAAAAAAAAGGCTAACTTGGGCTACATAGTGAGTTAAAGGCCAGCCTGAAATACATAGCAAAACCCCATTTCTTTCTTTCTTTTTTTTTTTTTTTTACTATTTTCTTTTTTGGTACCGGGAATTGATCTCAGGACCTCACGCTTGCCAGGCAGGCGCTGCACCGCTGAGCTACAACCCCAGCCCCAAAACCCTATTTCAAAGGGCAATAGCAATCTAGTAACTAATAGCACTAAGTATAATTCTTCGTCAAATTTCTTGCACTATGTCAAAATTTTTAAATGTTATTATTAAAATGCTCAATAAAAAACAATTTTTAAAATGTTGATGAAGGGGCTGGGGATTTAGCTCAGCGGCAAAGCGCCTGCCTGGCAAGCTCAAGGTCGTGAGTTCGGTTCCCGGTACCGGAGAAAAACCAAAACCAAAAAAAAACAAAAAAAAAAAAACCAAAATAAAATGTTGATGAAATTTCATTTAAAAAGGAAAGGGCTGATATAAGTTTCTACTTTGAGTGAACATAGGACCTCACATTACACCCCAGACCTTTGTATTTTTAACTTTGAGACAGAGTTATTAAATTGCCTAGATTGTTCTAAAATTTGCAATCTTCCTGTCTCAGCCTCCTGAGTAGCTGGGATTACAAGCATGTGCCCCTGCACCTGGCCCTAAAAATTTCATTTTTTTTCCAGAGAAGTTTGTGGTAATATTCAGCTTTGGCTAAATTCTTACTCTGACCCTTGGTCATTCTGCATTCAGTAAAAAAATTCAGCAGGCATGGGGGCACACACCATGGAGACACTCTAGAGGCTGAAGCAGAAGGACTGCAGGTTCAAGCCCAGCCTGAGTAATTTAGCAACACCCTGTCTAAAAACAGTGACGGCAGCTCAGCATGAACTGCATGAGTTCAATACCTACTACCACACAAAGATCAAAATTCAGAGGGCCTTCCCTTTCTCTACATTCAAACATGTGACTGTAAACGTATTAAAAAAAAAGATCTGGACGGAAAACCAATCAGATAATGATCATGCTAAACGTGCAGTGACGATGATGATGATGATGACAGAAACAGGTAAAATTTATGCAGCACTTCTATGTCACCACTGCTTGTAAGTTCTTCACATAGTTTGCTTCATTTAATCTTCACACCAGCCCTATGGGGGGAACACCACTATCTCTACTTTACAGATTAAGAAACTGAGGGACACAGCCGTTAGTATCTGGCCAAGGTTCGCACAGTCAGCGAGTGGCAGCACCTGCACTCCCACCCACCCAGTCTATTCCTGAGTCAACTCAGCCTCAGACGAGGGCCTGAGGGGACAGGGCTTTTGCCATTATATTTCCAATACTTTTACAGAGTTTTAATTTTTATAGAAATATTTAGTGTGTTATTGAAATAAATGTACATTTCACTTGTAACAGTTTTATGTACATAAACCAAACTATCAAAATAAAATTTTACTGCATGCTAAAAAATGAGGAGAAGCACAGACTGCAATCAGACCTTCTCTGAGCATATCAAATCCTCCCACCCTTACCACGGCGTCACCTGAGACTGGAGAGACCATGTCAGCCCGCACAGGTATGAAAGCGGACCTGTGCACATGCATGAGAAGGTAACTGTGATCGCCTCCTCAAGGAAGACACGCGCAAACACAATTCCCACAGAAGGGGGTTCTCGGGAAAAGGGGGACGGACAGGTGTGGCAACACATCCGTGACCCCAGCACTCAGGAGGTTAAGGCAGGAGAATCTTAAATTCAAGATCACCTTGAGCTATACAACAAGATCCTGTCTCAAAAAAAAAAAAAATAAAGAAAAGAGAAATCCCTTCTCCTCCAAGACAAGGGATAGGTCTATCTTCATTTTTGGCTGAAGGCAGGGTTTGCAAAAATTCCTCCTCAGGATGAGTCAGGGTTACAACGGGAGTGGTGGGGACTCTGGTAAATTAAATCAAGTATGTTCATCTAAAGAAGACAGACAATACCTGGGCCACTGCTGTCATTTACAATCCTGAATCAGTGGAGTCAGGTCATCTAATTTCTCAAAAGCCAGAAATATAGATGCTTACAATAAATCTGGATTTCAGCAGAATTTTCATATAGAAAAACAAAAAACTGAGGTCGTAGTTCAGCCAATGAGACGATGAAATTAGTTTATAACCTGTAACTTGCAGTGATACCTTATTAATGTTTCATCAAAAAAGAACCAGCCAGGCTCGGCACGGTGGCACATGCCTGTAATCACTGCACTCAGAAGGCTGAAGCAGGAGGACTACCATGGAGTTTGAAGCCAGCAAGACTCTGTCTCAAGACCAAAAAAAAAAGAATCAGCCAAGTGTGCTGATACAAGAGCCTGACACAGAAGGATTTTAAATCTGAAGGCAGGACCGCTGGGCGTGGTGGCACACGCCTGTAATCCCAGCACTCAGGAGGCTGAGGCAGGAGAGGATCATAGCAAGTTCCAGACCAGCCTGGGCTACAAAGTGAGCTCAAGGACGGCCATTAATATGACTCTGTCTCAAAAAAAACAAAACAAAAATTAAAATCTAGTTAACTAAAGTTTTCTCAGAAACTGGAATGTTTCCTCACAAATTCAATATGCATTTGTAAAGCATTTCAAATATGTTATTACTGATTCTTCGTAATACACAAATTTTGCTAACGTGCTTGCCTCAAAGTTACAGGAATCCCAGCATTCACGTAAACCATACCTCTGCCGCACAGCCAGGTATCGAAGGTCCAGGCACCCCCTAACGAGGAGGCCATAATCCTGCAAAAGCTTGCTGGCATCTTCTGAACATCCCACGCCCACTTTTAAAATGGTGCCATCTGCCAAAATGTCCAGTAATGTTCTCGGTAGTGTCTTGCCTCCATAGGTCAGCTTGGGCAAGCGAACCAAGACGCAGAGGCCGCTTGGCGAGGCCATTTGTAGGAGCGACAGAGGACTGGCTTTGCCTTCCAAGTTCACCTGCAACACAGCAAGACAGACCATGGCTCCTAACCTGTTCCGAAGCAAGCACAACCCCAGTCTGTAGCTACATAAATAAACAAACAGGCCAAGAGGCACTTCCGTAGGAATAGTTTGGTCAGAGCTGGGATTAATTCTAAGGACAGCCTATAATGAGCACAATGGACCTTGTAAGGCAGCAGCCTAGACAAAGCTTCCTGAGGGCCCAACTCCAGGGCTGGAAACACAGGCAGTCCATAAACAGTGGTCAGCCCACACACGGGAGCTCTAGTAAATACACTGGCAGAGTCAGATGGAATGCTGGTACGTTCCCCGGCTGGGAATGTAGCTCAGTGCACAGGTGCCTGCCTGGCAAGTGCAAGGTCCTGAGTTTGATTCCCCATACCAGACCAAAAAAAAAAAAAAAAGAAAAGAAAGAAATGCTGGCTATTAAAGGCTAAGGGAAAAAAGACGAAAGAGCTAGGCGTGATGGCGCACATCTGTAACTCCAGCACTCAGAAAGCTGAGGCAGGAGGATTGCTGCAAGTTTAAGGCCAGCCTGTACTACAAATGAGTTCAAGGCCAGCCTGAGCTGTATAGCAAAACCCTGGCTGAATTTTAAAAAAAAGAAAGGAAGGGAGGAAGGGAGGGAGGGGAGGAATGAAAGGAAGGAAGAGAAAAAGAGAGAGGGAAGGAGGGAGGGAAGGCTAAGGAAAAAGGTTAAGGCATGCCAAAAACACACCTGCATTATCCAGGCCCTCTTACATGCTTCAGTAACCCATTTACCTTATGAGCACTGCCTCAAGAACCAATTTTTAAAAAGAAGAAAACAGACCTGTAAGTAAGTGATACCTGCCAATACAGAACAGATCCTGGGGGCATGAAATGGTTTCTCACCATTTTATAGCCACAAATGTACTTACAAAGAAAAAATACTATTGAGCATAAACTAGGCACCTATCTTAAGAGATAAAAATAATTTTACATAGTAACTACATATTTGGATCTGGTTTAATCCCTTCAGGGACACAGGTAATTTTAGAAAACTGCTGAAAGCTAGAAGTGTTATTCAAGCCACGCGTGGTGGCGCATGCCTGTAATCCCAGCACTCGGGAGGCTGAGGCAGGAAGATCTTTGCGAGTTCCAGACCAGTCTGGGCTACAAAGTGAGTTCAAGGCCAGCCTCAACTGCATAGTGTGACCCTGTCTCAAAAAGATAAAAAAAAAAAAAAAAAAGTGTTATCCATACAAAAATTTCCATACAAAGTTCATATACTTTTTCAAGGGATTAAAATGCCCTAAAGCCATGCACAAAACCCAGAAATTCCAGTAAATTCCAGCCCTTCCCATGTTTCAGCAGAGGAAACCTTAAGGTTTACAAGTGAAACAATTTCACCAAATATGGTGAGACTGAAGGCAAAGCTAGGACTATAACCTAATTTTTGGTGGACAAGAGTGATTTTTGCCCAAGAGAAATCTGGAAATGCCTAGAGAAATTTTTAACTGTCACAACTGTACTGAAAGTAGTGTATCGGTATCTAGTCAAGACAGAACATTCTCAAACACCCTGCAGTGCACAGAATAGCCCCTTACAAGAGAACACGATCCGCCTGACGTCAACAGTGAGGGGCCATGTGGCTCTCGCTGCCCTACTGCCGCTGGGAGGCACTGCCTAGTGCCACGGTTGCCACAGTGACAAAGAGACGGCCCCTGGCTAAGGAGCTGTGGCCGGGAGGCACACAGACACAAGCTCGTACACACGGAATACAGAAGGTACCGAAAAGAGTGATTCAGAAAGTGCCACAGGTAATCACAGGAGGGGTGTTTCACAGCTGAGGTGATCAAAATCATAGAGAGAAAACAGCTTACACCGCAGAGAGCCCCTGCTAAAATCTGGGAGAGTCTTGGCCCTCAGCTTCTACTTTTGCACTGGGTAAAACCATGATTTAACTCGCAAAAGCCTTGAGAATGTCTTCTGAGGTACTGTGTTACAGATGAGGGCTCGTTCCATACCCACAAAAGAAAGAACGCTAGTTTGATTCCTGTGCTGTCTACTTCTCGTGACTCAACCAAGGTGAAAAAGATCCATAAGAAACCTGACTATGGGTGCTGTTCAACAATCCTTTCTGATGTGGTCAAATCACCATTTTTCTCACTAATGAGTAGTTTTCCTCCCTCCATAGAGGGTTCTTCTCGCTATCTGAAATGCCTGGCCCCAGAAATGTGCTTTTGTTTGTTTTAGAACATCTCCATATTCACGATATCTTGGGGATGGGAACAGTATTCACTTATGTTTCATATATACCTTAAACACACAACCTTGTAGGTAATTTTATACAACATTTTTAGCATACCTGCATTTTGGGTGCGATCTGTCACATGAAATTTTCACATGTGGCACCATGAAAGAGCTCAAAGTTTCATATTTTGGATTTTCAGATTAGCAACGCTCAACCTGTATTTTCTCTCCAAGAAAAAGCTACAAATCTCTTCTACTATATAACAATGCTAATTTGGCATAAACTCACTTCAAATTCCTAAGGCTTTGTACACCTTTATAGTCAGGTTTCAGTGTCTAAAATACATTAAATAAGGCTGGGCATGGTGGCCCACACCTATAATCCCAGCACTCAGGAGGCTGAGACAGGAAGATCACTGCAAGTTCAAGGCCAGCATGAGCTACAAAGTGAGCTCAAGGCCAGCCTGAACTGCATAATGAGATCCCGTCTCAAAAAGACCAAAAAAAAAAAAATGCTGACCGTGAAACAGCATGCCATATCACTCCGGCAGCGGCCTCCTTTACCGCGTGTTTAGTGTATCCCTGGGTACATCAAGAGGCCACGGTGAGGCACGGGCTCTTCCGCGTGTAAGTACGCTCTGCAGTGCTCACATGATGAGGAACTGCCTAACGAGGCACTTCTCAGAGCATCTTGGCCCATTAAGGGATACATGACTATACATGTATATTTACTTATAAATCCCATACACATAACATTAGTATTATATACACTAGTGGTACAAGTAGCAGCACGAGGCATTGAACACAGGACCCTGCACATGCTAAGTAACAATGTCTCTACCACTAAACTATGTTCCTGCCCCTGTATAATTATTAAATATAAACAAAAGTAACAATTTCAAATGAATGATGAAATCAACCCTTATAGATAAAGCTTCTGTGTTTCAGTGATTCGTTTAGATGCACAAGGTTGGAGGTCTTTCTTCCTGAGAGCCAATGGATAATACAATTTAGCTTACCTAGTCTTAAAAATTGAGGGCAGGTCTTTGCAAGGTCCCCTGGTGCTTTATATGCCCCCACGATGGAGGCAGAGAGTAAGGAACGACAGGGGACCAGCTTCTGGACTGGACCGGGTTAACTACTCCACACTCGGCCTGTGAAGTTCACAAAGGGTTAAATTTAGACTCTAGCTTTGAGCCGGGAAAGAGCCTGCACTGTTCCAGGAGCAGAATGAAGACCTGTGGTGGCTGAAGCATAAGAAGAAGAGAACAGAAAGAGAATAAGAAACAAAATCAGAGACGCTGACAGAAACCAGCGCACACACGGAAGTAATTAAGACATCCGGGTTTATTCTAAGTAATAGAAGAGTTTTTAAGCAGAGGACTGGCATGATATGATTTTCGTTACTGTAGGGAGAAGGACTGCAGGCGCACAACGATCAATATAGGGAGGCCGGTCAGGCGGCCACTGCGATAGTCCTCGCGAGATTCTCGGGGCAGGGACTGAGGAAGCAGAAGTGATTCGGAGCAGCAAACAGACCCAAAACGTATTTCAGAGATAGCACCCACAATACTTGCTGAGTGAGAGGGAAGGAATCAAGGGGAAGAAAAAAGGAGTGAAGTCCAAGCAGGCCTGAAGCCTAGACCCACAGGATACTCTGAGGCACACGACTTCCCTTAGCTCAATCTTCATACCACACTTTATTAATTATCTGCATCTGTAAAGCAGGGTGTATGTACCTAATCTCTAAAAGACACCAGTGCTAGGGAGCCAGACAGGTACCTAGCATCTCCACCTCCGCGTCTGCAGGAAAAGGCAATAATGGCACGTAAAAGACGGTAGGGTCCTCATTTTGTACAGGTGGCCTGTCCCTATCACTGGAGCACATCACCACCAGCCACTGAGGGGATCTGGAAACTCTCACTCTGTCTGGTAGCTGTGTTATTTCCTGCTCTGCATAACCGCTCTTCGACGTCATACCTTCTGCCATTAAAGACATCTGACGTACCGTGACACCTATTTGCATCTGCTGCTCAATTGTGTGGGACACTGTGTTGTATGAAATCCACCGTCACTGCCTGTTCGTGTCCATCACCACTGACGCCCCTTAGGAAGGAGGACGTGTCCCTGATCTTAACCTTGAAGGGAGAGAGAACTAGGGACAACACAGGTTTGGGAAGAAAAATCAAGAGTTCTGTGAGGAACAGGTTTAATCTGAGATGACCGTCAGACATTCAAGGACAGACATCAAGGAGACAGGTGGGTATAAAAGGCTGCTAATTCTGAGAGTCATTAGCATCAATATAGCTAAAGCTGTAAAATTAGATGAGATCATTAAAAAAGAGTACAGATTAAAGGGTATAAATTAGTGGCCTATGACTCCCATCTGTTGATATATATAGATATATGCTTTTTGGGTTTCCACATATTTAAAGACCTGTGCCAGAATTTTTTAATTTTAATATTTTTTTGGTGGTTTTTTTGTTTTTGTTTTTGGTTTTTGGTTTTGGGTTTTTTTTTCTTTTTGAGACAGGGTCTTGCTATGCAGTTCAGGCTGGTCTTGAACTCACTTTGTAGCCCAGGCTGGCCTCAAACTCCACAACGATCCTCCTGCCTCAGCCTCCCGAGTGCTGGGATTACAAGTGTGCACCACCACGCCCAGCTTTGGTTTTCTTTTTGAGACAGGGTGTCATTATGTAGTGCAGGCTGGCCTTGAACTCACTGTGTAGCCCAGGTTGGCCTCCAACTCACAGTGATCCTTTTGCCTTAGCTTCCCAGGTGCT